GGCATCTCTATCTCCTGTTTCATTTACATCCGCAATGATAATACCAACCATTTAACCATTCTTCAAGAGCTGTATGGGCTGATCACATGTGTCGGTACCATACGCATTTCCAATTGAGTCAAACGTTACACTAAAGGGAGTGTCTAATAATATTGATGAAAAATCACTTGTGTCAATACTGTCACCAGCAAGAAGCGTCGAAGTACTGGTGCCTTAAACCGAACGAATGATTTCGTTGCTACCAAAATTAGCGTTCACTAGAGTATTTGACCCTGAATCGAAATAGATGCCGACCGAATAGTGTAACTGATTACTATTGCTTCCAGTAACATAACCATGAGTAACCACAGTACGATTTGATGCGTTTGGTAAGTATTGCATCACGCGATAATTAAGAGAATTGCTGATGTCAAATTGCCTGAGGTAGCATCACTTCCCATATTTCATGGACTATTGAGTTCATTAAGGCAGATCCAGAAGAGCCTGAAAACATATACATTCTTTATAGGAACACAAGAATAGTTGATGATGTTTTCGGAATGATATCTTTCATAAAACAGGTTATCAATTCACGTGAGAGTCGCTTTCTACATATCACCTCAATCAAAAACCTTCTTTAGTTAAAAGTTTACCTGCTCGATATATTTCACCACATCCTTTAAAATAAAATATCTATATTAAAGAAAACCTCATATCATCAACTAATTGCAATAATTTGTCTTATAACAAAAATGTTTTTTCATCAAAAACCTTACATCCTCTACAAGTGGCAGTAACTTTTCATTAAAATTTTTTAAACGATTTATTTTCGATATGTACTCTCACTGATCAAATCTTTAATCAATTTATGCAACCATAATAACATTGTCAACTTTAAATCAAATAAAAATTTTAAATTATCATATTTTGCTTAAACTTAATGTTTTTCATTTTCGCAAACGAGAAGTAGTCAGTCTAAAAGTTGGCTAATTTTCTTCGTGTTGTCATAAAAAAACCTTCATAAGTATCTTGATCTTTTGCGATTTAAATTTAAATAAGTAACATTTTAGTTTGAAAAAAAAACAAGAGCTTCAATTTCTATGAAGTCTGCAAATTTCAAACGGTTTTAGGTTATTCATGTGTATTATCGTACATTTCTCATTGAAATAATCAATACAAAATGATGATAAAAGTAATATGCTTATCAATAAGGTCTTATAACGCATGGCTATATCAGTCTTTAATAAGTACTTAAATTGTTCTCGGTAGACATAAAAGATGTCCGATAATGGAAATAGCTCTTTTTGTTACAGAAAACGGAGGTGCATACTGATGATACTCCTTAGTTTCGAGTAAGTAGTTTTCAAAAATAGATAACGAACTGAAAAAATCGAATAACGAGCACTGGCCAATTTCCTAAATAAGGACTTTTTCTCTGTCTGAAGCACCATTAAAAGATAATGATCATCGAAATTTGGATGAAAAAGAACTTTTTTCTTAATAATTTCACTATTTCTGAACGATTAAAGAAAAAAAACAGGGTTCAAATAATAATCAAAGTTCCTTTGAAACACGCTGAACGTTTTTAACGGTCTTGAATTCAATCTTATTTTGTAAAAGTTCATGGTATGGTTTTCTGATTAGGATTCTTTTACTATACGTTTCTGCTTGCGAAAAATTAAATCGGTCATTATTTCTGTCTTCGCAGACTATTTCTGAACAAACGACGTAATCTAGTGTTTAAATGAAAAAAAAATAGTTGACAAACCTGTGTTGTAGTTCACCATAGTGTTTGCATTGAAGTTTTTCAGAAACTTTGAAATCAATACAACGATGATCATTGCGAGATGTCGAAGCATAAATAGACCAACGAGCATTCGAATGTCCAATAAGATCCGAATGGCATGCGTTTTTCTGAAACGAAAATATAAAAATGTGTATCATTCGTTTCTGGATAATAGAAGACAACAGCAGTATTAACATTGAACTGACGAGGTAAAGTCTTCGAGTGGTCAATAGTTTTTCGCTGCAACTGTGGTCATTCTATTGTTTATATCAGATAATATAAGTCCCTAACTTGGATTGAATCTTTATCTTTCCATTTCGAGATATTATGTTCCTTGAAAATTAATATTTTATAGAAAAAAAAATTGAAAACACGTAGTTTGCTTGAAAAGTCAACATTTCTAAGAAGCATTCGTTCGAACTGAACTTCGCAGCAAAATCTGATAAAGATGAGATCTGTCGGTGTGCCGAATTTCAGATTGAAAATCTGACATGCGAGCTTATCCGGAAAAGCTTTAAAATGAATCGTGACGTGATCAAAATAACGTTTATAATTGTACTTCAAAGCCGCTGGCATTCAATCGAAGTTACAGCATTACACAACTGACTATGACCGAACTAATGACGATAGTGTCGATTGAAAAGAGATTTTACACTTGGAAATCTTTTCTTGTAATCAATAGTCAATTGATATGTTAGTTGCAATGTTAGTGAAAGAAGCTTTGACAAACTTACGGCTTCTCCATTGTACGCATATTTTTCTTATTTAATATTTCATTTGACATTTTTTGCAATATCGACGATTTTCAATCATTAAAATCGTTGGATTCAAAGTTGTAGACTTGCTTTCTAAAATGTATGATTTTGAAACATGGAGCAAATGTCGAATTGGCTACAAAAGGTTTCTCAAAACAGATGTTTTGTAAGACAAGTGACTTTACAGTAACTAATTTTTACTGTTCATTTCATAAAGAATTTCGAAATGTTTTCGCCACTACGAAAATAACTAGCATGACAAGAAAAAAAAACACTACACCTGGTTAATCATACTACTTGAGCACAGAAAAATCTGCTCTCTACTGGTTACTAAAAAGAAACCTCTGAAAGAAATTCCAGTTTCAAAAACACATACCTTTTCTCGTTGTATTGAAGAAAATATTGTATACTTACAATGAGAATACGAATGTGATGCATCGATGTTGTTCTATGCATGAAACTAAAGCATTGTGTTGCTTACATATACGTTACAAAATAAGTTTTGCTTTGCGCATGCAACCATGTCGCGAAAAACCGATGAGCATATTTTCAAAGCATACCTTGCTTTGTTATTAGTTGAAAACTTAATCATCGTTTTACTTGTCCTCTTATTCATCATTTCTACAGGTAAATCATATTCATATACACACAAACGCATATACATCACAATGTGCGCGAAAAAACGATGAGAATATGTTTAAAATATACCTTATTTTATTTTTGATTCGAAATTTCAGTATCGTTCTTCTTGCTGTCTCATTCGTCTTTTCTACAGGTAAACCATATCCCTATGCACACAAACAAATGTGTGTCAAAAATAGACTTATCGTTTTTCTTAATCATACATTATACAAGTGAGCGGGACAGTCTTTTTCTACCGCAGTTGCCCATCTTGGCCACACACCTACTCGTCATCCATTCTACCAGAGAACCACTGAAGGAAAGAGCTTCACTTCTCAACGCAGAATCTATAGCAGCACGCTTCTCAATCAATCCTCGTCAGGGTCACAAACCGAACTCGGTTTCAGTATGGGACTCGATCGTCTAGAAGTTTCGACTACCAATTTCCATCTGTGTAATCGCAACAATAGCTGTCCCACTTCGGCTTCGGACCTGATTCTACACTCAGTCTCAACATCATTTCGAGCTGAATAGTAGCAAACCTTCTAAAATTCATACTGATTTCATATTCCGACTACAGTTGCAATACTAGTACTCATTGCTATTTCATTAAAGGATGTGTTACTCATTCTAGTTTCAATACTGGTCATCCTGTCAACGTTGGTTTCAATAGTGATTCTACTCTAAATATCGTTTTCAATCGGAGATCCTGCTACTTGAGCTCACTTCAAAACATACACTAATACTCAAGTGGTCTTACTGCTCGTCAACGCTTCTGACCAGGTCCTGATGCTCAATAACACTTGAAGCCCAGCACCAATACTTGTCGCAGTTTTCGTGTTGACCATTGCATCGATCAACATTTCAATCAGGATTCTGCTACCTGTGTGTCGACATCAATGATGGTCTCATTACTTGATGACGATCAGATTTGTCTCTGATACTCATTCCAATATCAATCATGATTTTCGTAGTGATCGACGTTTGAACCATGATCGTGCTACACATGCTGGCTTGAACCGTGGACCAAGGACCAGTATAGGTTTCAGAAGCTGCGCTGCTACCGATATCGGTTTTGAGCGAGGTCTGTTACCCATGCAAGTTTCAATCTAGATTCCAGTGGTCGACCTGATATCGATACCGATTTGAGTCGACCTTCCAATAGTTGTCAAGGGTTCAATCAAGGTCCTGTTACTGATGGAAATTTGAGTCCAGGTGCTAATACGGGTTTCGATCGCAGTCTCAGTATCTAACGATGTGTCACTGATTGTGGTGATTCTTCGCCAGGTCTTAAAGACAACCCTGGCACGGGTATTTTTTTTAGTGGCAGCTCTGGTATATTTCGCGATCTCACCCATGGTTGGGATGTGGATGAAAATGAAGAGAAGATTCACATTTTCATCACCATCACTATTCATCAATCAGAGAATTCAAAAAGAATATCAAATTAATAATCATTAATTGATTACAAGTTGGAAATTCTAATATTCAAATGAAATTGAAGGGAATAATCGTTTTTTTTTTGTCATTTTATTACGTATCATTGTATACATTCAAGTGAACTACAAATTGCACATGATTTAGAAAATGTTTGAATTCAATTTTGAATAGAATTAAACAAAAAAAAACTTAAAATACATTCATTAGATTTAAGGCAAAAAATCTGCTTCTGTAAAACATATCAAAGCAAAAAATGTCAATATATTATACAACAGCAACATAAGACGAGTCAAATGCTAAGTTATGATAATACAACCAAATAAAAGAAGGAACAATTTAAGAAAAATACTTGGATTGTACTTATTAAAAAAACATCATCACAGAAAGAAAGAAAAAAAAGAAGGAATCATTATTCATAATCACATAGTTGGACGAATTTCAACAACACCAATAATAGCTTGATTTTTACTCTTGAAAAACTGTTCATTAGGTTCAACAAGAATAATATTAGCATTTGTTGAATCAGTTTTCCATTTCAAGGCTCTATTAACAGTTACATTATAACTTTGTTGTGGATATAGTAATGGTGATACATAAATTTCTGTAGGTTGTTTAATTGTTGGATCAATGTAATACGATAAATAGAATTGACGTTGACTAGCTATATATTGCATTGCAAGAGGTTTACCAGCTATAGCACGTGCATAAACACGAGATAAACGTTTCATTGTTGGCTCATGATCAAAATAATTACCCCAATAAGCCCATGACTGTAAAAATTCATCAGCAGCATTTAAACCCCAATCAAGTTGTTCATCACATGTTGGTGATTCATCACAACCACCAAATTCAGTTAAAAATGCTGAACCACCTAGTTGAGCAAGATCAATTTCTACAGAACGAAATACTGCTGGTCCTTCAACATCATCACAAAGAACTCGATCAAAAATTGGTATTGTACTATTGTCTGGAATGGGTATAACAGATAGAATTATACAATAATAATGATAAGAAAGGACACTTCGATTACGATAATCATCACCACCTGGTACATGAGTAAATCCTGTACCAAAATATTTACCGTTTAATCGAACTAAAATCAACAAATTAAAATCTATGATAAATGTTTTATGTTTAAAATTTGAACTTACCACCCCAAGTTACTGGTTCATAGAAAATTAATGTATCATTATCGACTGAACGAATAAATTTAGCTATTTTGTTATAGAATGGTTGTAAATTTTTAGCACCAGCTATGCCTGGTAGAAATAAAGTCGGATTGACAAGATAATTTCCTGCCCAAGGTTCATTGATTATTTCATACCTTTATATGAATAGATAACATAAAAAAATTAAGAAAAATGCACTATTTGAAAAAATGATACAATTCAGTATTTGTAGTATTAAAAAAATTTTTTTTCTATGTACAAGAATATTTTCTTAGATTCTGCGAAAACAATTTCAATATTATAGAATTAGCCAGAAAAAAATTCAAAAAAAAAATTAGAAGATGTCGAAAATAGGCACTTTCGTTTTAAAAAAAGCTCCGAATTTAGGCAGCATTTTTGAAAACTATACAATGCATACCGATTCACTTTTCATTAGCGACATGATAAAATACAAATATACAAACGAAAAAAAGTTCCTTTTTTTTTAGTTACTGTTTAATTCATAATTAGGTATAAGAGTCAACATTGTTACGTATGTCTTGCTACCAGAACTTATTCTTAAAAATAATTCTTGTAAAGAATTAAAGTCGAATGAACGTTATGCCCCGTTTTGCCTGAAACGCTCTACATTTTCACCAGTTTGAGGTATGAGTAGATATGAAAACCATAAAAAATATCATCTTCAATGAAAGAATGTTGGTCTCGATCGAATAATAAATATAGTGTGAATGTCTTGCTAGTTCGGTATTTTCTTTTCTTGTCTATAGATACTAACAATGTGTTTTCATTATTATTATCATTTCAGCTTGCTTACCCAAGTACATTAGAATGTTCTTTATAGGTTGTAGCGACTAATCGCCAAAAATTACCCATCGATTCAGTAGCACCAGACGTATTGTCATATAAACATTGAAATCCATGGGAACATGCTTCTGTTAGATAACTAGCATTTAAAAGAATAATATTTTACTTTCTTTTTATTTTATTTTTACTTACAGGTCAAACCAGCTTACACGTGTTGCTGATTGAAGTGGCCAAGGGTCTAAAGATATAACAAGTTATTTTTCATTTTAGAAATAAAACTTTTTATTTCATATATATATATATATGTATATCATTACATGGATGATCTGGTGGAGGAAATCTATCATATAACCACGCTGGTATACCATCATAACTTCCTGTTCGACTAGATAATAAATCTTGATGCATATCCAATAAAACAAATATTTGATTTGATTCAAGTAATTCAATGATTTGTTTCATTATATTTAAATAAGTAATATTATATTTTTGTGGTTCAGGTTCAACACCTGCCCACATCATTCTAAAACATTTCAATAATACATATGATTAATAATTATAGCTTCTAAAATGAATACCCAAGTCGAATACAATTAATTCCAAATTGTGATAAATTTGCAACTTTAATTGGATCAAGTAATTCAGATGGATACCATGGAAATCCTTTCATAACAAGATTAAGACCATGATAAATTCGTATACGTCCTGCATCATCAACAATGAATGAATCGGATACGTGTACATTGGCTGAACCATTACAATAAATGATAAGAAAAGAAAAAATAATAAGCAACACCACATCAAGCGGTTTCATCTTTAGAATATAATATAAATGTGTTACTTATCTATATAAAATATAAAAAATATGAAGTATGATAAAGAACTATTATTATCATCAATTTCCATCGTTTACCAAAAAAAAACTCTCTGTAATAAAATAACTTAAGTTTTATTTTATTTTTTAATTTAAGTAACTTTCTCTCTACAATAGAAGACCTTTCCGTTAATACTTTGTACGCTTGGTTATAATGAGAGACTCGAGATCTTCTACTACATGAAAGGACTTAAATCATCTCAATTAAATAGAAAGGCATAAGACTTCATCAAACCATCATTTCTAGACAAATGTTGAAACAACTTTTTTTAAACATAATCATTTTTTTTGTCTCATTCTATCAAATTCTCTCTTAATTGTAATTTGTATTTTCAAATATCATTTCTTGACAGCACGTCAACTAAATGAACATTCTCCACTCTCGGACACTACTTAATTCAATATTTTCACTACATATACATGTATAGAATTCGAGCTAACTATAGTCAAGGATCTATGCTAGAACTTGCAGTCCTATACTATGACGTTTTCAGTAAATATTCATCAAACAAGACTCATCAACAGCTTGTTTATCGATCCAATATTCTCTGTAGACCTTCACTCTATACATTTTAGTATTATTTGTAAGAGCATGCCAGTCTACATCGTGTGGCAGAATTCTTTTTTTGTGCATTTTTATATAATGGTGAAAACACCTAATTCGAAAAAGGACATTAATGCTTCACATACTCTGTTAAACAGTATAAAAGGCAATGGATTACCGTGCAACTTCAAAGATTTTGGCAAAAGATGAGGTATTCTAATAACAAAAATCAATTTCTATATGAAAGATCAAACATCAAGTTATCTTCCCATGTAAATATACTTTTCTATTAAGAAGAGTTAGACTACAGAAAAAAATCTGATGATCGTCGAAATGCTGTGAAAATTTTAATACAACTGAATGTGTGTTCTATTTTTACGAAATATTAACATTGCAAATAGACTCAACTTAAATCTTTTAAATAAACCTAACATCTTTGATCGCATATTCTTTAAAAATTGATCTATATCATTAAAAAAAAAAGAAGAAACAGTTAATCAAAGAAAAAATCAACGTTGATTTCATATTTTTCTTATCTTGTGTACAAATCGTACAACAACAAACATAAGAACAAATAAAGAAGAAGAAAAAAAAACTATCAAAGACACAAAATCTATTATCAAATACAAATAGATACATTGACATAGAAATAGATATAATCATTTTTGAAATACTCGTAATGTTTGAGTTAATCCTCTTAATTCTTCATCAGTAGCTGTTTGAAAAAATGGTGAAACACCATGTCGAGCAGCAGTCAATGTATCATCAAGTGATTCTTCAACAATAGGATTTGAATTTGGTAATGGTGGAATATCATTATTATTTTGCCGCCAATGAGGCATTTGTGGTGGTAAAGATGGAAAACCACCTCCTCGTCGATCTGTTGGTGCATTTGCCCAGTGACCATCATTAAATACATCAAGACGTGGTCGTTTCATTGGTGGACCGCCACTACGAGAATCAAAATCAAGTGGTATACTATTTCGAGAATAATCGTCAAGCATAGTAGGTGGTCCTCGAGAAAAATTTGGTAATTGTGATGGTTGTAATGAAGCTGACTGAGACTAAAATAAATTAATAAATTAAATTCAAATTTATCAATTGAAACTTACATAAAATGAATCATCAGAATCCAGTGAAGCTAAAAAAATATAAACATATGTTTCATAGTTTTATTCTTATGAATATTACAAACATGATATTTTTGTAGTAAAAAAAAAAAAAACAAATCATTAACTTACTCATTATTCTATTACTATTATTGGTATTATCGCCTGGAAATGGATCAACCGATCGCCATGCTTTTTCAAATGGTTTGGGAACAGGTTTAGCAAATGGTGCCTAGAATATTTCAAAATTTTCTTCAAAAACTATTATTGCTATTTCTACAGGATTAATGTTTAAAACACAATGAGACATTGCTGTATTCTATCTATTTCTGGATATCTTCCTTCATTTTTAAACCTGCGAGGTTTTTTTTTTCTTAGAATCAGACATGAGAAGCGCTAAACTTTTACATCCTCATTCGACAAAAAAAATAAAATTTTGCATTCGAACACGATCTGATTTTGGATACTCTCAAAGAAAAAGTCAATGTACAGTTATTTCTTGTTGTTTAATAAATTGAAAGTTTTTTTTTTTTTCTTAATTGAAAAAAGATTAATATTTTAGTTACATCTATGTAAATGATATCAAGTAAGAATATGTTCTTTGTAATCTAAAGAGTTACAAATTTATGCTTTTTATGAATCCGCAGTTTCATAGAAAGGATGAGTCGAAGTATTATTTTTATATTTCAAAAATTTCTAAGAAAGAAAAATAAATCATACACGTCGCCGTCGACCCTCTTCATCATCATTTGAAAAATCTAAGCCAGGTATACCAGCTTCACGTCGATTATATGCATCCTCTAAATAAAATAAAGACAATCTAGTATGAAATAAAATTTTGTTAGTTTTTTTTTTTTATCTAAGTTAATACCTTGTTGTTGTAATTGTTCAAGTAAACCACCTTCAAAACCTAAACCAGGCATATTAATTTCTTCTGATGCACGTTCATGTTCTAATTCTTCACGATGCATTTGTTCAAGACGTGAAGCATGCATTAAAATTCCTTCTTCACTTCGTTCTAGTACAGTATCACCTGGTCGATTACGTGTCCAAAATCGTCTAAATCAAATAAATTGATTTATAATTTTAAAATAAAATAAAATAAAATAAAACAAACGTTGTATGATCATTTGAACCACTGACAAGCATATGACCAAGTGGATGCCAAGACATATCCCAAATCATACCTTCATGTGCATCATCCATACCAGCTAATTCTTTTTCTGTTCTATAAGAAAAGAAGAAATTAAATGAAGAGAATAATATTACAAAACAAGAGGAAACTGATTTTTTTTTTGTTAAATCTCTAATGCATTTCTATTCGCAAAATCTTCAATAGATTAAAACTTTTGTTAATAACATACCCAACATGCCAAAAATAGATCGAACCATCGGATCCTCCACTTGAAAAGAGTCGTTCATGTATTGGATGCCATGCCAATGCTATAAAATAAATAAAACAAATTAATTACGGCAAAACATATGATAATAATTAATTCTTCGGTAGCGATGTATTTAAAAGAAAATTACTCTAAAACTTGTCTTCTCTCTCCTAAATCGATCACTGTTTTTAAGCAGACAAACAAACTCGAAAATGTTTAATGACTCGAGCATATCCAATAAGTGAAAGATTGAATCAATATCTAGTTTATTATAGACAAACTATTGTATATTACGATTCATATTGTTTTTTAATTACTGAGACACGGATTGAAAAGTAACAAAACAACTGTTAAAAGAATCTCGAATCTACTCTCGCTCAAGAATTGTAGTTTTTTGTTTGCTAGAGATATCCGGAATCAAGTTCTCATATCGAGACTACTATTCCAGAATTTATTCGTTGCACATCTTAAAAATTCTTTAATATGCGCTTTTTAATGTATTGAATCGATAACTTGTACTTCTTTGAGAATTGATATGATTTATAAGATAGTTCGCTTAAAACTATAGAATATTTTGATTATAATCTTTAGTTGCGGTTGTAGACTCTATCGGATCCGAACTCGAAACCAACCAGAAAGACTTTATCCATTTGGAACGATCTTTTTTTTTTTCTCATAGTATCAATCCCGATCTCGACAATTTCTTTTTCCGATGAATCAGAACTAAAATTGGTTCCATACAATTCCAGTATTTGCTATTGTCTGTTACGTCATATTAGATACATTTATCGCAAAGAAAAAAATCTCAAAAGTTCGCCGTGAAAAACAAGAAACATGAATATATTTTAAATTATTTTTTCTCAATAGTACATTCTTTGAAGACTTATTTTAAATCATCAACAAACATTCGAATACAAATAGTTTTAAGAATAGCTAAATTATTATGAATCAAAAAAAAAAAAAATACAAATCGACATTGCCATACATAGATTGTATTAGAGAAATTTTTTTCGTTTAGCACAATAGCATATTGATAAAATTATTAAAAAAAACAAAAAAAAGAAATTAACAAATTTCATTCCATTTGTGAAAATCGATTACCATCGAATTTTTCAATAGTTGTCTTTATTTCATGAACAACAACATATCAAATTAATAATGATTAAATATCTTCTGATCAAGCCATACAATGTATAATTTGTTTAATAAATTATTTTTTTTGTTACCGATACAAGTGAATATGAATCTTAACGATAACAGTTATATTCAAAATGAAAATTAATAACGAAAAAAATTTTCTCGAATATTGTTTTTTTTTTTTTAAATATTAAAATAAAACTTTAACGAATATACTATAATATTGAACTATTCAAAAAAAAAAAAGATATTCTTCACATAATTTTGTTTTTACGGCGAACTTTATTTATTAATGAAAAAAACAAAAGAAATAATAGTAATAAAAGCAAATATAATTTTTCTCTTAAAAAATTCTTTATTATTATTATTATTATTATTATTTGTTTTATTCGAGTGTTAAAAATAAACAAAATAAGATGAATACATTTTATTTTTATTTGTTGACGATAAACAAACAAAAAAAGCTTACTGCATGCTTCTTTTTTGTGTCCACGAAAACATTGTAATTCTTCTTTGAGATTTCTTATATCAAATAATTTACAAAAATGATCACGTGATGCTGATATTAACCAATTTCCATTATGTCGATTCCATTTTAATGCCATACATGTATTTTTATGTGCATGACTAAATTTATTTAAATATATTATTTCAGTTTTTCTTTTTTAAATACATACAGTGTTGCTAATTTTTTTCCACTCTTTGGATCCCATAGAACAATTGGTTGTTGAGAATCTTTACTACCTGAGACAAGTAAACCTTTATGTG